ACACACACACACACACACACACACACACACACACACACACACACACACACACTATTCTTATGGGGTTGAAGAGAAAACCCACATCTGGATATGGTGGCCCATACTGTAATCCCAGCGCTGGGGAGATAGAGACAGGACCAGTCCCTAGGTTTGCTGGCTAGTCAGCCTAGCCTGCACTGTGAGTTCTAGACCAAAAAAGGAAGGTGGACAGTGCCTGAGGAATGACACCTGACATTCTTCTCTGGCCTAAACTTGCCCTCTCACCCTTATGCTATAAGGAGCAGGGGGTGGGGGTCAGGATTTGAAATGGAGCAATATTACATAGGTGGTAAATAAAGCATAGAAATCCTGAAAAAAATACATAACTATAGCAGCAATTGAATTTTAAAAGTCCTGTAAATATTAAATGTATTTGTTTTATGTTTTAAACTGGAAATCATAAGCCCCTAAAACCATGAAGAAGCCAGGAATGCCAGAGAAGGTCTTGGAAATCTTGTTAACATCTTGTATAATACTTACAACTTTAAGGGCTAAAAAGTGTTAAGGGTTATTCCTTGTGCTACCTGCCACACAAATGGGAGATCTATCACCGCCACTCTGGCATTCTGGAAGTTTCCTGGGGACCCTGTATTGGGATTTTAACCACATCTTTACCATTTACTCCAGGCACTTTTGGTGCTGGCCGCCTTAAGGAGGCTCAGCTGCCTGTGATTGAGAACAAAGTGTGTAACCGTGATGAGTATCTACACGGCAGAGTCAGAGCCACGGAGCTCTGTGCGGGGCACTTGGCCGGTGGCATCGACAGCTGCCAGGTAAGAAAAGAGATCGATATGGTCCAGGGTTGACCCAGCTCCGCCCCTTGGACTTTCAGTCCAAGAGGATGTGCCTGCAGAAGACACTGAGAGAGAGAACAGAGAGAGATGTAAAGGCTCAGTTTCTCACATGGGCTCTCCCTCCCTCATCTAGGGTGACAGCGGTGGACCTCTGGTTTGCTTTGAGAAAGACAAGTACATTTTACAAGGAGTCACTTCTTGGGGTCTTGGCTGCGCTCGTCCCAACAAGCCCGGGGTCTATGTCCGAGTGTCACGGTTTGTTAATTGGATCCAAATGGTGATGAGGAATAATTAATTAGGTGGGAGGGAGGCAGAGGAAAACATTCCCTTCCTAAAACTTACTACACGTGGGGAGGGGACTTAGGTTGCTTGGAAATAATTGACAGTAATCAAGCCGAGACACTACACTGAACCACTATTTCCTGTCGCCTCTCAGCACCCCCTCTCCCCTTTTTGTATTACTGTGGGTAAAATTTTCTCGTCTGTGGACTTGTGGATTTTGTGAGAAGAGACCAAAACTGCTATGACATTTGTTGAAAATAAACTCTATATGTACTTTGATTTGAGTTGGTTTTGCGAGGGGGGGGGGATTCTTTGATACTTTCACACCCTTCGTTCAGTCTAACGATTGAAAAGAAACTGGCTGCAGTGATTTGGCTTGTTTTCCCTTGGGCCAGCTGCACAGAGGACTAGGCAGGGTGTAGGGTCACCGAGGAGAGAACTGAAGGTCCCGGTGAGGCACTCGTCCATTGACCTTGTCAGCTAACCGCAGCCTGACACACATCTTCAGTGTCTCCCTTTCTGGCCCGAGGACATTGTTTTCAGAGCTGCCACGTGCATGGGGAGTCAGGAGAATGAGTTCTCTTCTGGGGACTGACATTCGGCCCTGCGACTGGGCTTTAGCCCAGCTCCCAGGATGTGACTTGGCTAGCTGAGTTGCGGCATAGACCAGGCGATGGAAATCTAATACACGACCAGCCGAGAATCTGAACGTTATGGCGGGTCACATCCGAGGGCACGGGCAGTGCCAGGGGCCCGTAAGGGAACAAGGAGCCAGCATCGAAGCGATGCCATTTCCCGGTCTGGAGACAGCAAACAACACACACACTGTCGTGTGGGATAGTGTTTTCCTGTGGCACATGTGCGGTGGTGGGGCGGGGAGGGGAGGTGGAGAAAGGATGGATATTTTAAAGAAACAGTTTAAAAATTGTTTATTGTTATGAAACGCAGCTATCAAGGCGAAATGCAACCCAAAGGCAGTAGCAGGATGACCGGGAGCAGTGCTACAGCAAAGAAATGCACAGGAAAACACATCAGAAGCTCTGCACTCACGGGGTGGTTGTGGCAGTGAGGGAGTACCCGGAAGGCGGTTGAGAAATTGAACACTCGCATTCCGTTCTCACATGCTTTAAGGCTTAAAACATTTGTCTTACCATCATCACACACATAGTGAAACACTGTGCTTGTGTCTGAGTCTCACGCTTGAAAAGTCTTGATAAAAAAAAAAAAAAGTCCGATCTCTCATTAGTATCTCCTAAATCACTTACAAAGCAGCTGCTCATTCTTTTAAGGATGGATACAATTGACTTTCCCTTTAAATGGAAACACATGTATTTGTATTAATTTTTGTTCCTTCCCACCCCACTCCAAGACAAGTCAAAAGTGCCGAGATGGAATGAAAAAAAGTCTGCACTTTGGATTCTCAGCCACAGGCACCATTGGAACTGAACTCACAAATGTGACATAATTATTCCCTCAACTGTTCACATTCTAAGACCCGGGAAGTCATAATCTATGGTTTTTGTTTTTGTTTTTTTTTTTCTTCCTCAATAAACAACCAGTGATTACAGGGATCCACTGAGGGACGGCACAAAATATCGGCGGCCTCAGAATCACAGCTAGTCTTTGGATGTGTTACAGATTTGTGATTTGTTCTCACTTAGGGAACTGTGCCTAGCCTGGGGCCTGGGACCTCAGAGGCTGCAGGGGACAGGAGGGGAGGGATGCCAGACTTGTCGCCTCTGTAAAGCTCAGGGGAAGCAGAAATAGCAGTTCTCAGACTCTCCAGAACGCTTCTGTCCTGATCAGGCCAGCCGAGCACACTTCCGAGTGCTAGTCTTGGTTTGTTCATTGTGCCTCCTGGTGCGGCTGTCCTGAGAGCTGGAGAACTGGCCGGGCCTTTCTCATCTTTCCTTAGCACACTGGGTCACAGGCGTTGCTCCCTGGGTAGAATCTGTGTACCTATGGGCTCTTTGCTAAATAGGTCAAAGGTCATGTGCTTCCAAAGCTTGGGTAGCATGATAAATCTTCATCTTACACCGTACAAAATACTCTGGAGTCTCCAAGGGTCCTTGGGAGGGCGCCACCTAGAGGAGCTGAAGCACGCTGCAAGGCATATTCCTACCAGGGTCAGCTTCTGGGTGCAGGTGGCATCCAAGGGCTCCTGTCCTTTGGGGTGATGCGGGGGCCTCAGACGTCAGAGGTGGAAACCTGAGTTTTCTTCTTCCTGCCACACTGACGCAGCTGTGAACTGACAAGACAAAGGGGGATAGGGGAAGTCCTCGTGAAAGAGCACATAATGACTTAGACTACAGCGGTTCTCAACCTATGGGTTGTGACTCGTTTGGGAGGCGAACAACCCTTCCACAGAGGTCGCCGAAGACCATCTGCATATCAAATATTTACATCATGATTCAGAACAATAGCAAAACTGGGAGGGTTTTGCCTCCAAGTATGTAAGTGTTTGTGTATTCCTGGAGCCTAAGGAAGTCTGAAGAGGGCACTGGGTCCGATATAACTGGATTTACACTGGCTGTGTCATCGTATGGGTACCAGAGACCAGTCTCAGGTCCTCTGCAAGGGCAACCAGTATTCTTAACTGCAAATCCATCTCTCCAGCCCCACAATAGTGTTTTCCAAAGAGTAGAAACTATGTATAATTTATTTACTCTACTTTCTACTATGGAAATTTATGAGCATGAAAAAGTGAGAATTTGTGCCCAGTTATTTTTGCTGTTGATAATATATATATTTAACATATATACATAGTGTTGAATATTGATTTTCCTCACAAACTTTTTAGGTCCTTCTAGCCCCCCAAAATCTCACTCTCTCTTTCAGTACTTTAATCTAATGTTAGTATGAAGGAGTTGGTGGAAGAGTCCTGAACTCAGATGATTTTCTCTGACAATTCTCCAAAGCTTTATGGTTAGAAGGCCTGACCCCTGAGTGGTCTGTGGTCAGGAACAAGAGCTTTACTCTCTGTTATTGCATAGGCAGGCATCAGCAGGCTGCATTAGAGGGAAGAGTGCAGAGCCCCTCATTGGAGCTGCCTCCAGTGAGGTAGGCAGTGTGAAGCTCACAGGTTTCATCACCAGCATTCAGCACAGAGGTCCTTCTCACCGTTGACCTATGACCCCAGCCTAAGCAAGGTACACATAAGCCCCTGAGAAGTACCCATTACTATGTAGAACTTAAAAATATTTTGTTAGATTTTTTTATATTATGTTGTGTTGTATTATATTAGTATATATTTATACTAGCTTACATTATTATATATGTTTTATATTAGGTTTCTTTATTTTGCGTGTTTTTGCCCACATGTAAACATGTGTACCACGTGCATGCCTGGCTCCCATGGAGGTCAGAAGAGGGAGTTGGTATTCCCTGGAACTTGAGTTACTGGTTGTTGTGAGCCACCATGTGGGTGCTGGCAACTGAACCCCAATCCTATGTAAGACCAGCCAGTGCTTATAACCAATGAGCCATCCCTTTGACCCCTGGATTCTTTATCATAAGACAGACTAATGTCCTCTCTCATTATAGCCCCCTTGCTTCACTTGAACATGGCAAACATTCTCCTGTCTTTTGGTGTTTCTAGCATGGGGCTGTAACTTTGAAGGAAGCTGGGCATGGCCCCTTTAGCCTGACTCGGACCCTGTACCTTGATACCAACCAAGGGACTGCCTACAATAATAGAGACATAACATCTCTCCTGTTGGGATGCAGCAAGGGGCTACCTACCTGGCAGAAGGATTTCTCATAGCGGAAATAATTTTAATGTGCTGCTCTAATCAGCTTAGTTTTGTTTTATAAAGTGGCAGTGGGAGGAATTCTCTCCCACCCCAAACTCCAGGAAGCTCTGTTGCAGAGTGGACAGAAAGAACTACAAGTGGAGAATGAGCTACTGCCCATCATTTTCCTTCCAAACAGGCACAAGAATCGGCATTATTCCCTTGAAATTGATCGGCCCATCCCAGCAATAGGCAACCAATGAAAAATTACTGAGGTTTTATTTTGCTTGTAAAATGGACTTGGCTTAGGAAAGTTTTTTTGGGGGGTCGGGGAGGAAGGTTGACTAATCAACCAGTTTTTCAAAACAGGATTAGAAAACAGGACAAGAGATAATAATATAAGTCAGCAATTACCTCGCAGAGTTTTCAAGGCCTGAAGAGTTTTCATGAGACCCTCACAGTGGTTGCCCACCTCTCAAGAAGGGGTCTCAAGAAAGGACTTGACAATCCTGCCAGGGTGCCCCTCACTCTTCTGAAAAAGCCACGATACGATGCAGAACAAACCAGAACCACACGACACAGTCACCTGGTGTCCCGGACTGCCTCAGCACCACTCCCAGCAGCTAAACATTGTAAAGCTTCTCTGATTTCCCAGTGGGGATTTAAAAAAAAAAAAATTCTACTTCACAAAATTGTTTTGAGTATTAAATGAAAATAACATATATAAAACCATGGAACACACTGGTATTTTAAAAATATCAACTTCTACATTCTTCCCAGCCTATTAGTAAAGAAAAAAAATGCCTTGAGAGAACCAAAATTCGGTCTTTTAAAAATACGTATGTTTGATAACTTTTAAAATTTAGATGCCTGCCCTTAATTTCTGCCTCAGTAAGATTACTTATTTACCTCTAAGATATTTTACTTTCATAGCACTAAATTATACTTTAATTATGCATATAAGACCAGCGCTTGCATTTTTTTCTCTATAATGAACCGTGAGGAGTATCTGTGTCACTTTGTGGAGACGGAAGCTGGTTCTTTTTATCTTGGAGGGTGGCCCATATTCGATGCATTGCCATCTTTCCGTCAGCCCCTCACTGACGCATGTTTGAGCTCATCATCAGCCCCTGGTTTAAATCACGTCTGAGTTTTAACACCTTACTAGGAAATGCTTCTCAGTCACATTTTTAAAAATAGCCCACATTCTTTTAATAGTTCTAAGTTCTTTTACGTTAACCTGTTTAATCTTTTGACTGTTTCAAGGTATTAAATGAAGACTTATTGTCATTTCCCATCGTGGGTAATCAATGCCCACGGCTTAACAAGATGCTGTTATTCGGGGAGGGTTGAATCTTGCGCAGTACCTGCCAAGCTTTTCTACATCGTCCACTGTCTCCGGCAAGGCAATGCCCTTGGTTTCAGGCAAAAGCATCACGAGGCCACCACAGATAGATGCCAGGATTCCTGTGGGACGGGGGAGAGGCATGACTACCTGGGAACACATCCCTCCCGCCTCTACGCTCACTCCCTGATCTCGCCTGCCTCCAACAACGTCATTCCTCTGTTCACCACAACCAGACTGCCCTGCCCTTCAAAAGTTCTCCACCTTCCTTGTATCTGCATGGCTCAGCGCCCCTGTGCTCTCAGTGTACACCGAGCCTCAGTCAGGTGTGTAGGAACACACACCGAGAAACGCTGTGATTTCATTGTTTTTCGTAACAACCACAGAGCGCATGCAGGTAAGCTAACACAGCATGACATCACTGGGCAACTCACTCTTACCAGGTAGGCTGCGAGGCTCTATGTGAAAGTGCTTACAGAGCACCTGGCAAGTGCAGACACTCCAGGCCTCTTGCATTAACTGACGAAACAGAGTCAGTGGATAAGAGCCCCCCCCCTCAGTTTCCCAGCCTGGGAACTCAGCTGTACTCACTTCCTGTGATCCTCCTGTCACATTACACTTAAGGTCACTCTCTGCTCCAGGGCAAAGCCTCATCTGTGCCCATCTCTGGGCATTCCTCACTGCAGTGTTTAATCCACTTCCCAGGTGCCTTCAGGCTGTCACCAGAAGCATTCACACCCACTGAACCTCTTATTCCATGAGCTACTGACCCCATATCACCCCTGATTATCTCCTCCCTTTGCTACTCTTTAGATTCTTCTGGAAAGAATGTTGTCTACTATTCTTTGCCCATCATCTCAGGCTCAGCAATACGCTGGTAAACTTTAACAACTGGCTCCTGATAAAGAGCTGACTTGTAGCTTTGCCCATTCCCACGCTCCTGTGCACACATTCCAAGCCACTAACCTAAGTTCGTTACACAATGGACTAGAGCAAGATGGGCAGTGAGCCTCCATTCCACATTACTCCCACACGGGATACACAGAGACCATGAACGAGCAAGGTACATGTAGATACAACTGTGTGTCATCAATTTTTTTTTTTTTTTAGATTTCTTTTATTTATTATTTATGTAGTATTCTGCCCACAAGTATGCATGCAGGCCAGAAGAGGGCACCAGATCTCATTATAGATGGTTGTGAGCCAACACGTGGTTACTGGGAATTGAACTCAGGATCTCTGGAAGAACAGTCAGTGCTCTTAACCTCTGAGCCATCTCTCCAGCCCCCGTGTCATCAATTTTTTAACATCACAGTTTTAGTACCAAAAGCAAATTTAGATATTAACTATTTTAGGAAATATAATTAGTTTTTAGGCCCACCTTTAAACGTAAGACAATGGAATTCAACTTTGGTCCCTGGAAATTGATATTTCCATTTTCCAATGTCTCAGAAGAATTTCGGTGCCTGCTTTTAACTCAGAACCTAACAAAAGAAGTGGATGTGGACACCGCTTCTCACAACCTGTTAGTGTGACGTGACTTTAAGCCATTTAGCATTTTGGATTTAATGATAATCCGACTGGCTCTTTAAAACGAAAACAGTCGAAAGAGGACGAAGTGGATGCCATCAACATCAAACCCAGTGTCCATTACAGGTCCTGTTAATGCATGAATAAGTGCAAGGATTTGCAACTAGTATGTAAAATGAGGCAGCAAATGACTACCACACAAGCATGAAGGCCTGAGTTCTAGCTGCAGAATCGAAGTAGAGAGCTGAGCACTGAGCACAGTGACACGAATTTAGGATTTCGGCATTGTGAAGCAGAAACGGGCCTAGCCCTGAGACTCATACTCACGTGGCCAGCCCCATGTCCCAACGAGAGCCCTTGTCTCGATAAACAAGGTGGCTAGCTCCCAAGAAACAACCCCTGAGGCTGACCTCTGGTTTCTGCAAACATGTGGACACATGTGGAGGCATAACCACATACACATACATACCCACTCCTCTACACGTGTGGACTCACCCCCCACACAAATGAGTTCTTACCAAAGATGATCAGAGGCAGTTCTAGCCACACAGCAGCTAGTCGAAAGAGTAGAAATGGGGCTATGATCCCCCCAAAGTCACACAAGCCCGAGCACAGAGAAACCCCAAAGTTCCTGCAGATTAAAACATAGTTTCAGATAAAAGTTTTTCAAACAAATTCAGAATAGTAAAAACATTCAGACATAGTAAATTATAGAAGTTGTGTCAATACTTTCTATTTCTATCATTTCCAGCTTTGAAAGCTACCACTGCCTCATGCTCTAAGCAAGTCACTTCCATTCTGCACTGTTTTGCAGTAAGGTTCGTGTTGGTGAAAGGACGTTTTTCCATCAGTAGCCCATAGCCTGCCAGTCCATGACACTCACAGGCTACTTTGGTATTCTGCAAGGTACACCCATAGGAATATTGGTGGCAAGAAAAACCAACTTGCGGGAACTCATGAACACTCCTTCCCAAACCAGCTGCTCACCGAGGTCAGAAAAAGAAGGCTTAGCCTTGACACAGTGTGCTGCTGGTGAATGCAGACCTAGCTTACAGTCTAAGCAAGTATGCTAGTAGGCTTTTTATTCCCAAGTTTGTGTCTTTTCACAGATCGCAGCTCTGTCTGAAGATACTGTCCCAAGATGTACTTCAGTCACCAAATGAAGAATGTAGCAAATGGGAGTGGTGATCAAAGTCTTCAGGGGCTAAACTGAGCTCTCTTTAATATGTCATTAAGCTTGGAAACACTTGGCTACAATTACTTAGAAAAAATGGCAACATATATGTCAGAATTACCTTAGTGTTGTTGGGTACAACTCTGAATTTACCAAATAAACAATTTCAAAGGCCATGGTTATCCCTAGTCTTCCCAGGGTAGCAACTGTGGTCCTCAGCCATGGTATCCCTGTGAACAGAATGTTTGGAAGAGGAGAATCAGGAATCTGATCTCATTAACATTTCACAAAACAATGAAAAATACTCATTGTGTCTTCCCAGCCTAACTCCTAGGAAATGTAACACAACTGAGAAAGCCTTTGTATACTTTAGACAGATCTCACTAGCGCCAGCTTGATAGCTAACATGAGGTGCATGGCAGAGGCTTTTCTGAGCGTGGAGAGGCTGTGGAAATACGAAAGACCTGTTTGCTGAGCTAACAGCAGTTTAGTCGCTGCCCTAAAATAATGTCCCAGGCCGCGCTTTCCTAGAGAGCCCAAGCCCGCTGGCCTTGATATGGAAAGAAGTCTCCTCTATCCCCTTGAAGACCATGGCTACAGTCAGATGTCCGTCCTCACTCTGCACAGACCCAGAAAACGGTTCTCAGCTAAGCTGGTTTCCTGTGAGAAGCAAGGCTTTGAGAACTAGGGTCCTTTGAAAGGGATCTCAGTTTTGTGTTATCCCCACGGTGTGTGTCATTCATTGTCTTCGACCCCAGCCATGCTTTCTCCTCCAGGAGCCTATCTGGAGAAGGCCAGCTTCATACACACGAACCGGCTCACTCTGAAAAACAGATTGCTTTAGGAGCAGCTGCTTTCACTGGGTGAAGAACCCACCCCCTCTACCCTCCCATCCTCTACAGCAGTGATGAGACATGGCAAACAGTCTCTAGAAAACATTTTCTTTTGTTTTAAAGGAAGGTGGAATTCATATTTTAATTCTAAAAAGCCAGGCTTCTGAACGTCTTAAGAGTTATGCAAGCTGGAAGGTGATGGCACATGCCTTTAATCCTAGCACTCGGAAGGCAGAGGCAGGTAGATCTCTGAGTTCGAGGCCAGCCTGGTCTATAAAGTGAGCTCCAAGACAGTCAGGGTTACAGAGAGAAACCCTGTCTCTAAAACAATACAACAACTCCAACAACAAGTTATAGAATGATGTCATCCTATTCTAGAGGACCTGTATGAGGGCATGGGACTGGATGGAGACTGTTGGCCAGCACAAGCTAGGAATCCAGCATCTCTGGACAGCGCCCGATTATTCTATTGTCTCCTAGGCAAACACTGCACCTTCCTGAAAGTATAATTAGGCACTATTATCCTGTTGTGCCGAGAGGTTGAACCCAGGACCTTGGGCATGGCAGGTGAGTTCTCACCACTGAGTTATATAGCAGCCCTTGACTTTTGAAACCAGCTCAAGTCCAAGCTGGTCTTGAACTCTCAGGCCTCCTGTGTCATCCTCCTGGGTGCTGGATTCTAGGAATATACTACCACATAATGCTTTTTTTTTTCTTTGTTGTTGTTGTAAAGTAACCATGAATGAGGATGATGAGAAAGAAAAAAATTAAGCTCATCAGTGTGTGCTCACTCTAGAGAATATTCAACAAATTAAAAAAAAAAAAAAAAAAAACCCAAACCACTAACAACTGCCAAGAAGGCCGGCAGAGATGGAGGATTTAAGAGACCAGATCTTGGCCGGGAAGCTGCAGTTAATTAAGATTTAGCTGCAGGCTGGCGGAGGACATCCCAGTGCACTGGATGTATTTGCAGATGGGACACCTGCAGCTGTCACAGCAGTGGTTAAGTCCGGATCGAGGTAGATCAGGGCTGTGCTCACGAGCTGGCTGACACCTGTTCAGGCACAGAACAGCTGGAAACATGTGTGTTACTTAGGCTTTGCTTTTTCATGAGAGCCAGGAGGGGATTGGAAATGCATTCCACCCTTGTCTGTCAGCGAGCAGATGCTGCTGGAGACAGAAAGTCGCTGCTCAGCCAGATAGATGCCCTCGGTGGCAGCCGATGGGCTGACAAGGGTGGCCATGGAGGAGGCTGTCTGCTTCCATGGAAACCGCTTTCTAGGATAGAGTTTCTCTCTACAATAGCAAGATTGCTATTGTGAGTCCCCACCGATAAGTTCAATGTCTATTTAGGTTTAAAACTAACGCTTAAATGGTTCCATGGGAGGGGGGATAAAACTAAGGAATCAAATTAAAATACATTCATGTTCTTTCTACACACACACACCACCATCATCAAACAATATATGGGTACGCCATAAATAACTAGTCAATTCAATAAAAAAGGAAGTATTGGTTTGATATCCTTGCAGGAGAAATGATCTGTGCCTCAGGCTGACCTTAGTCTAAAGACTTTCAATTCTTTTCCAAAAAGGACACTGGGACAGAGCTTTTGTTGGGAGGAAAAAAAAAAAAAAAAGAATCCCCAAAGATACTACACTACATTTAAACCACATTAGCTTGAACACAGTTCATTAGCAGATGTAACGATGTTTGGAGATGAAAACCATCGATTGTCCTGATAATAGTCATTTTTTTTTATGATAAAGATCAAACCAAATTAAAAAAAAATCAAGAATGGAGGTGATAGCTCACTGGTAGAGTGCTTGCCCAGTACGTACAAAGCCCTGGGTTCTATCCTCAACACACATGACCTGGGCATGGTGGCATCCAGGACCCCAGAACTCAGGATGCAGAGGCAGGAGGATTGGAAAGTTAAGCTCTATAGCATAACTTTGAGGCCAGCTTGGGCTACAAATAATACTCTGTCTATCTGTCTGTCTCTGTTGTCTCTCCTCCCTCTCTCTTTCTCCCTACATGTGCTCGTACATGAAAAATGACCACTACAGCTAAAGCCATTCTCTACAGTCATGTGAGAACACAGAGAAACCATCTTCCTTCATTGTTGGTGACTTGTTTAGGCAGCTAGAGCCTTGAAACTCAGCTTTTGAAGAAAAGATGCAGAATTTAAAAATTCATAACTTTCATTTTCTTCTGGTCGTGCCATCTGCTCTGAGTTCTGAAATAAAGTTTAGAGAAAAGTCCCAATAAAGATATGTAAATTAGGATATATAGATTTACTTTTCACTTAGAAATAAAAGCAAAAAAAAAAAAAATAATCTTCTTGTGCTGGAAGGAGGACTTGTCCTGGCTGCTAGGTTTGTAGCCACACTGAGTAGACATGATTGGAGGCTGTAGAGGATTGTTCATTCAGAACATGGCTGCTCTGGCAAGAGGTCTCATCCAAAGACCTAGGTCTGTGTGATTCAGTTGGAATACATACACGCCTTCAATCCAGGAGACAAAAGGAAGCAGATCTGAGTTTCAGGTAAAGAATAGCTTAGATCCAGGCATGGTGGTACCTACCTTTAATCCCAAACAATGAATGTAGTTTGTAGAAGGAAGAACCTGTGTTTAAAAGTGATGTCCAATTGAATGGCAGAAACAGTGATGAATTGGAGAAAGACTTGACAGAATAGGATATGCCCAACTTTCAGAAGAAGAGAGAAAAAAGGGAAGCTATTTAAGGGGCAATGAGAGAAGAGGCAGTTTTTACTAGGACAGTAATAGAGAGACGGGTTGCAGAGAAAGAACTCAGGTGGAAACCAAATAAGCCAGAGGATGAGAAAGAGCCAGAAGACTACAGATTTCTCAAGTTAGTTTGAGGCCAAGAAGAGCAATTCAAGAGCTGAGAGAGAAAAAGGCCAGATTGAATAAGTCAGCTGGGAGAGAACTTTGAGCCAGAGCAGCTGAGTTGAACCAGTCAGCCAGGAGGTCAGAAAGAACAGGAAAGGGTGAGCTTATTAAGCAGTAAGTCTCAGAGGCTGAAACAGTCTAGGCCCAGGTTAGATTGTATGGAGGCTAGAAGCTCCTAGGACTAGGCCTAGGTTAGCAGACGGAGGCAGTATAAAAGTTGTTTTTACAGGTGAATAAAAGTTTTTTTTTACAGGAGACATGGGTGGATGTGCTTAAAGAAAGCACTTACTTCCCAGGCTTCGAAGTTCAGAAGTTTGCTTTCTCAACAGTATATCCTAAAAGAAGAGGCAGCCTGGAAAAATCATTTCACCCCCTCCCCCAGTTCATTCTCAGACCATAAAAAGAAGTGATTTTTCAGAGATGACCTCTCTAAAAGGCTCATCAACGTTTTAGCCAGGGGCCAATGGTGATGTCAGGCCCAGCAGAGAGAGAAAAAGCTCCTAATGTTAATTTCAGTCTGTCTCCCGAGTCAAGGCCAAACTGGAAAATGTGCTTGCTCAAGGGAGGGGCCTCTGTTCATATATGGAATTCATTTTGGGAGTGTGAAACTTATTCTGGCCCCTCAAATCACCATGGACCCATGACTATAAAAGCACACAAAGTCTGATCCCTAGAACCCATAGGAAAGCCAAGGGTGGTGAGGGTGTTAGAAACACTGCACTGTGGAGGCAGAGACTAGGAGCCCTGAGTCTCACTGACCAAGCAGCCTTGCCTGCTTAGCAAAATGCAGGCCAGAGAAAGACCCTGTCCCAAGACACAAGGTGGACACCCATGCCAACCTCTGGTCTGCACATGGATGTGAACACTCACAGCAGCAAGTGCACCTGAACACATAGAAACACACACAGCGGACGAGAGAGGTGAGGGAGGGAGGCAAGGAGGGAGAGAGGGAGAATTCTGAAGCACAGAACTCTACAGTGTTCTTAACCTTTCACCCTTTAATTGAAATCGCATGCCTCTGAGGGAAGCAATTATGTTTCTATATAATTGTTCCTCTCTATCCCTTTCCCTGTTTAGTGGCCAGCATTTAATCAATATTAAATAGACACACGCTGATGGATGGCTATTGTTCAGCATCTGTAAGTCTTTTTAAAAAAACTATTTTTATTTTCATCTGTGTGTGTGTGTGCATGCGTGAACTTGTGTGTGCATTTGTGTGTGTGTGTGTGTGTGTGTGTGTGTGTGTGTGTGTGTGTAATCAGAAGAGAGCATCAGATACCTTGAAGCTGGAGTTACAGGTGGTTGGGAGCCACCTGCTGTGGGTGCTGGGAGCTGAGGATTCCAGAAGAGAAGTTGGTGCTGTTAACCACCAAGCCATCTCTCCAGTCCCAGCTTCTTTAGCTCTAAAGACACGCTAACTATGCAGTGAGCTATTTCTTCAAATTCATCTTTGCTTGGAAGCTTGGAACGTGATCATAACCAAGAGGGAGAGTGTTGTGTGAAGATAGAGGCTGAGATTGGAGAGACACCAAGAAATGATGCCAGTGGCCAGGGTGTGGTTGCAAGAGCTCCTAGCTGAGGAGTTGGGGAGGAACAGTCCTGTGCTGTGCCCTGGCCAGCCTGCGGAGGGGAGAGGGCATAGCTGCTGTGCAGACACCCAGCTGGCGGGGACTTACTAATGCAGCCCTGGGGATCGGGTGCACTTGAGGAAAGTGAGAGAGGCCTCAGCTTCTGCTTTCCAGCAGCCATTGCAGCAGGATGGATTTGCACATCACTTCCCTTTTCTGTTCTGAGGACTGGCACTTCTGTAGTTTTAGCCAAGTAATCTCTATCTGCCATCATGGGAATTGCTAAACCGGTGTCTAATTAATGAAGTCTCCTGTGTGTGTGTCTTTCCTGATCCTTGGTATTCTCAGAAACAGACTGCTTCCTTTGTAGATACTGGTTCTGTGAGGATCCCGGCTTCCTGTAAACCTTCACCACATACCCAGAATACAGAAATGACTCCTGTGCTCTAACTCACACCTTGCTGGCATAGTTTAAATGGCTTCCTCTTTGTAGCTCCAGCCATGTTCTGGGGCAGAGGTACTCTGGGCTGTTCACTGACATCTGGGGTCTTTTGCAATCCTTTCTTCCTCCTCCTCCTGCCCCTCTTACCCACCAGCCCTCTAGCTCCAGAATATCGGCCTCTGGAACATCTCTGGAAGGAGCCACCCTCTCCCATTCCAGCCAGACTTGCCCAGATGGAAGCTAGGCTCCGGCATCTCTCCCTCCAGTCAGTGTCCTAATGTCCCAAACTGCTGCAGGTGCGAGCAGCTCACATCCCCTTCCCAGAAGCCTTCAGGCAGCACCAGGCCCCTGTCACATTCCACAGGGACAGTCATGCTGAGGCTTCCTCATACAGAGCAGCAATAACACGGAAGCCCTAGTTCCTAAATTCATAAAACTTTCCATACTTTTGGGAAAATAACAGGTAGGAAGAAATAGTTGTTAGTGAAGAGTTCTGACTCCTCCCTTGGGCCTACACAGTTCTCCCTCATCCCCCTTCTCCCTCCCCCTTCTCTTGCCCCACCTTTGTCAATTTTATTAATTTACCACATCCTGTTGTAACATTATTTAAATGTCTATGTCTCTTAAGAGCTATGAACCACAGGAAGCCAAGAGCCACCCCTCCCTTCTGTCCCTAACCTGGGGTGCAGCTTGGTGTCCACAGTATGGTAGATGCTTGGGAAATGTGTTAAACAATATTAGCCACATCCCATCACTATGTCCTATATCTAGCATAATTCCCCTTTTCATCAATAAACATACCTAAAGTTTCAGTAAAGAGACGCATCTATGCAAAGATCTCCTCAGTCTTCATATTCATGACATGGAAAACAGAGTGACATCACCCAAGCTTGCCTGGTGCCGAGGCTTTAAAGGAACACCACATCTCACAAAGACAAGTGACCCCTGCCCCCTCCACCTATGTAATCATTTACATTTTTTTTTTTTGTCAAGTTCTTTGGGAACTGTCATCTGAACGTGAAGGAAGATTACCTTCTGGTAAAAACGCAGTGGCCAGGCAGGACACTCCTGCCACTATATTGCTTGCTGCAAAGGGAAGGCGTCGTCCAAGGCGCTCAATGGTCAGAAGGATCAAGATAGCTCCAGGCAGCTCCACAAGCCCTGAGATAAAGAAGTCTACATAGAGGTTCCCTCCGATAATCCCCAGGCGCATGACGAGGCCTTGATATACCACAGCACTTGTGAACCTGCAAGAGGTCAGAAGACACCAGGGAGGCAAAATAAGAGGCAGCAGGACCTGTGAGCAAAGGGAAAGGCCGACTGTGCACTTGACACCAGCTTTGACATCCAGCCCAAGTCAACTTACCAAGCAAACATGAGAATAAGTGTGCATTTCCTCATTTGGGGGGTTCTCACAAGGTCTAAAAAGGATGGGTTACTAACTTCTTCATCTGTAACCGTGATCTAGGCAAGAAAGACAGATTTCAATAGCATCCTACAGCAAGACACACCTTCCTAGTGTAAACCCGTTGACTGTACAAAACTAAAACAATCTTCCTGAGCTTCGGGACTTTTCACAGTTCCATCTTCAACCCTGGGCACGAGTTTGTCTTCTAGCATGTTCAATATGCCAGATCCACAAAGACGTGGTTAGCTCAGGTAAACACCTCAGGCTAATACAACATCGGTTCTGTAGAAGACCTTCTAAAATTACAGTGGTTATGCTGTTTAGGTCAACCGTCAACTTAACGTGACCTAGAAGCACTTGGAAAGACAGTCTTAGTGAGGAAATCTCTAGATCAGGTTGGTCTGTAGACACACCTGTGCGAGACTGTTTTGACTGTTACTTTAGGTGGGAAATTTCACCCTGAATGTAGATGATACCATTTCATGGACTGGACCCTGGGTAGGTAAGAGAACAGAAAGGAAGCTGAGGACCAAGCAAGGCTGCAGACATTCTGTCTTCTCTTTACTGTGGATATGATGTGACCAGCTGCTTGAGGTCCTGTCCTGCCTTCCCTGGATTTGAATATATTTACAATATATTCAGGTATGAAGAACAGAAGGTTCTATGTGGCTTGAACCAGCTTGGGGTGCATTGTACAGTAAGGCTAAGCTATGTTTTCTAGTAGCCTTTTAGGAAGAATCTCCTATTTATCATCTTATGTCTGTGCATGATTGGGCAGGCATATGATTAAAATCAGGTGAGTTATGGGAAGAGACACATGCAGTAGAGAAATAATTATATAATTTAACCTACCAATAAAAAGAGATGCACCCAAAGTACATCCCTTAGTAACAAACTTTTTGTAGTGTGGCTGGCTGACTATCTTGATAGTCATGGCTCTTTAATCTGTACTATCTCTGTGATCCAAATGAAAGTACCTTGCTTCTTTTGCAAAGCTATGTGAACCCTTATTTTTAATTTTTTGGATAAGAAGCCAAGAAACATAAAAACACCCAGCCCAAATCCTGACAATCAGGAACATTATCTGCATTGAAATGACCAATTTATGTGGAGGGTACATAACAATTTATATCTGTTAAATTCTAGACTAAGTACATGGAGCATTTTATTTAATTATCATAAAAGCATTTTAATGAATTGAATTTTATAATTGAAAAAAAAAACAACCCAAGGACCACAAGGATTAGATAGCAGGAGGGTATCAGGGTCAGTATTTGACACACGTGTCTTGACCATCCTAGAGTGCTGTGGAGTATGAAGGAATCTTCTATGTCCAAGCACTCTACAGTTGATGGATATTTCCTACTTGCCTTAAAGGACATCAAGAAATAAAATGGAATCTTCCCATTCAAACATGAAAAAGTTAATTTTGAATGAAAATGATTTAGATAAATTAGAGTTGAGTCAAGTCATTTAGATTATTTTAAAAGGATCTTGAAATTCAAAATGAAAACAACACATAATATTAAGGTATTCCCTTCTTGGACTAGCTTGGGCCAGAGCGTCTTTTCTTTCAGGTCAGACTTTCCCTCCAGTGAGGCTTGGCCCTGCTCAGTGGTATACCTCTACTCTCTCTTCACCACCTCCACATCTGCAAACTGGCCGCCCAGCACACACGCAAAGGAGACAGTCTTTTCAAGAGCAATATCCGCGGGCGCTTTTTATTTCCTCTTTGGACTTCTATTGTGCTGCTCACAGCTATGATCCTGCCCACTAGATAAGCCTCTGGGCAGCATCTTTTCACAGGCCCAACACCGACAGCTCTGAGTTGGAGGAGAACCATGCATCACAGATTGCACTCAGAGCCAACCGTCAGAGCCCCTTGGCAAATGGTTCAGTCATCCATGCTCTGTGATTGTCTCTAAGTGGTGACATTGGAGAAGCTCTCTCCTTTTTGTTCTCAGCTCTGTAGATATCTGTTTCTTCTTGACAGATATCCAGTCAGCATGTGAGCCAAGAATGATGACATCAGATGGCAAAAGTCAGAAGGGATCAGCAAACATTCCCTAGCAAAGGGCCACACAGTGGATACTTTGGGATTTTCAGTTCTCTCTTGAAACTACCGACTGCATGTGTGGTGTGGAAACTGCATGGACAGTGTACATAAAGATTCTAATATTTATTTACAGAGACTCAGCAAGCTGGGTCTGGCCTATGAGCGGTCATTTGTTGACCTGGGTGTTACAGGGTTAGTGCTGGAAGAACTTGCACAGAACAACTTTTAACTATCATTCGAGAAGAAAGAGTTGAGAATCTGACCTCAGGAGGATACCTAGACAGTGCGTACATGAGTCTGGAGGCTGAAGCCCCGCTCTGCGTTTTAATTGCTATAGTCTGCAGAACGTAGAATGCTTTTATTTCATCGATCGAAAGTGTAGTTTGATCATCTCATTCATAGTTCTTATGAGTTAGTGGGACTACAGTGATTTTATTTTCTCTTCTTTTTTTTTTTTTACTATAAATATCTCCTTAAAAAGAGGCTAGGTCTGGGGAGATAGTTCATCTGGTAAAGTGTTTGTCACGCGCATGTGGCAATCTGATCTCCCTTTCCCAGAAAGCACACACAGAACCTCGATGCGGGGCTGAGTGCTGAGCTTGTGGTTCAAGGCCTATGCTTGAGTTCCAGGTCAATGAAAGGCCCTGTCTTAGAAAACACGGCTTCTGAGGAAGGATACCCACGGTTAACTTTTGGCGTCCAGAAACATGTGCATACACATTCACATACATACACCAGAATAAAAATAAAAACATATTACTTTTGTAACAAGAAATAACATTTCAAAGTGATAGATTTAAATTATATACCAGTGTACCTGATTGTCTCTTAACAGACCTCTTCCTCTGTACACACACACACACACACACACACACACACACACACACACACTCACAATTGGCCATCAAATCATGTTCTTCTAGTTATAGGGAAGCCTGATTATCTCAAGGTAATACTGTCCTCTGACTGGGCATGTATCCTAATTGAGCCAATGAGACATGGGTATGTTACCCAACCTGGGCCAGTGAGAAACATGAGTCTTAATTTGAACAAAACAGAAATGTGGGTATATCCCAATCTGAGCCAATGAGAGAATGAGCCTTTGGCCCAGTTTGGACCAACAAGCAAAACACCCTGGAAAAATTCTTCACTTCCCTTAATTCAGAGATATCCAAAGCAATTTTCTCTCTCCCACATCAAAAAATTAATGACAAAAGAGTGGGCCAAGACAGAGTTTAGAGGACAGCCTACATCCACAGGGACTCAGGCTGAGAATGCAGATGGCTGCTCAGGGTGGAGGGAGGGGCCAGCAGGTTTGATGACTTGCCCAGATCCTGGCTAAGATACCTCTGAACCCTGCTGGGCCTAGAACTCCTGATGTCCGAGTCAGTGAGTGTCCTTATTGTCCAAGTGCATTGAAGATGGCTGTCTGTTACCGTTTCTGATACCAAAAGTAGAATTATCTGAAGGCTCCAGTTCACAGCAATCTCTTGCTTGGATCACTGAACATTTTAGGCAAAATAACTTCACTGTTTAAATAATTGCTTCAACATTCCAATTCACTCCAATTACAACTCAATTGTAAGCATACTTGTTTTCAACGTCAAAACTCTTGAGATTTAAGATGAAGTAGCGACTCAACTCTGGTTTTCCAAAGCATAACTTTAGTGAGCAGCCATATAAGCACCTGCCAGAAAAATATGAAATGCTGGCAGCCAGGGAAAGCAATCAGGACCATGACACTGTTCCTCCCTGCATAGTGAATGAAGGGATTAATAGTACTGTGGAGCAGGTAAGTATTTTGTTACAGTGCAGAATGAACCCAGCTGGTCTTTGATTTACTAGCATCGTCTCTGCAGTGACGCATATCTTCTGAAAGATGACCCACTTTCTGGGTGTCCAAAGACCTCGAGAGACTAACAGCCCTATCTTGGATGGAACGCGTCCAGTCCCATTCTGCCAACTCATGCACACGGTGTCTGTGGCCGCTGTTCTTTTATGTAACTTCCTGCCCTGTAGCTCTGTTTCTTTTCTATTGCCAATGGTGACCAGACTTTTGCCTTGTCTGAGCCAGAAACAAAAGACCTAAAACATTACTCCAGATTGTTATACATTTTTAAAACTGCTTCTTAATAAAATGTACTCTCTATACAATAAAACTGAGCAATTAAAAATGGATCTCTCTATGATTCCTGGTATATCTACAGTCATATAATAACGACTATGCCCACAACATAGCACATGCCCATGATTCCAAAGTTCTGCTTTGTCGTAGTTCTACGGGACCCAAACAGGACAAGCTCTGGTCTGCAGCAAAAGCACAGGGGGCTGCCTGTGTAGCGTTTGTCTGTTTAGAGGCCCAGTGACTAGCAATGCACTCATCAAAAAGGTGTTGCTCAAGGTTCAGCAATGAATGCTGCTTTCCTTGCTTCTCACCAAGCTGGAGAGCGACTCATTCTAATCATCTCTCCCATTGTCTCTCCATTCTGTCAATTCCTCATTGGCCACCAGCAGGCAGGCAGGCAGGCTATGTTAAAAGAGCACTCTCTGATGAACTCAGTTGCCATACAGTTCTCCCTGGTACCTTTCTGATATATTTCTTCAAGGTGAATTTTTATTTTATTTTTTTGTTTTTTTGTTTTTTACATATGAGTGTTCTATCTGTAGGTCTCTTGCATGACAGAAGAGGGCATTAGATCCCAGTATAGGCATGGTTGTGAGCCACCATGTGGGTGCTGAGAATTGAACTCAGAACCTCTGGAAGAGCAGACAGTGCTCTTAACCACTGAGCCATCTCTCCAGCCCATTTTTTTTTTTTAATTTTAAATTGCCAAGAAAACAAAAGGCTTTACAAACAACTGTTGTTAAGAATGGTATTAAGAACTCCACAAATGAAGGATGAGTTTTAGGTCAGAAAACAACACCTAGCTGGGTCAGGCCAGAGGTGTTGTATTTTGCTCACAATATGTAGTTTTTCACTCAACGTGCTATTGAAACACC